GTCGAGAAAGTCAACCATACACTACCAAACGGGCATCCCTCGGTCTACTTATTCAAGCTGTCTTTGTCAGAGGAGAAATATCTAGAAGAAGCCGACAAGATGGACATTCTCTTCCAACACCCTAGCGTTGAAGGGGTTTACGAGGGAAACATCCCATTAAGCACTCGAGCGGTACTCAAACTAGGGAGCCATTGTACCTTTGATGAACAGCAACGCGGTGTCCTAGGTGACGGCTTGGACAAGGGCTTTGACCTTTCAACATTACTTCACGCATCTTCTGAGCAGCCCTATCTGATGGACTCGTCATTGGTGTACCACTACCTATATCACATTGTCTCTGGAGATAGACAAATCTTCGCCATATTCTCGACATCCAAGAATGAGGCGCACATTATCGTTCTCAACCGCACAAGAGATGTCCAAGGTCTTCCCAACGTCGATAAAATCTACACCGAGCTTCTCACGCGTAAGATGCAAGCCGCATCTGGTGATGAGTCGCAGCATGCGTTCGACTACCAGGACAATATCCATTTCAAAACTACCCAGGTGATGACGCGAAGGAAGGCTCACCTTGAGGTTGGTGATCTGATCAGAAAGATTCGAAATGATGAGGCTCATCCTGCCGTCCTTGTCATTCAATCCCAACAAAAAGACCGCTTATGTCACGACATTCCGATCTTGAAGGAGTGTCCAGTATTATCAGTGAAGCCCGAGGCATCGGACATGGAATTTCCCCCACTGGGCTGGCAGGCATTCGTTGCAAGACGTCTAGTCACACGCTATCTATACTTGTCTTCTTGGATTCAGCACTTGACTATGCTCGCTCGGTTCGGCGATGTTCCGCTTTGCAACCTGGAAAGTGAGGATCCTCGATACCTCATCGATATCTCGTACGCCAGACGGCTTCAGCAAAACAACGTTGTGCTCTGGTGGTCATCTGGCCCGCGCCCTGACCACGCAGGCTACGAAAGGGATGACATCCTAGGCGCCTTGGACAAGGTCAACATGCCATCTGTCAATGTACCGGGTGCTTACTCCACAGTGTGCATCGAGCTCGAGGTTCGCAATCTGTCAATCAATACAATTCTGACATCTTCCATCATCAGCGAAATGGATGGCAGTGATACGCTGCTAGCTCCTTCTGGGGACGGTGAAGATACTGGTGTTTTCTATTCAGAGAAAGCATTTGCCTCTGCCGGTGTCGTCGTTCTCCGAGAGATGGTAAAACACTGGTGGACAGAGGCCTGTGCGGGGAACAACATGGCCGATATCATGGTCCAGCATCTGATCCGATGGGTGGAAAGCCCTGTGTCCTGTCTCTATGACCGATCTTTGCACAACTACGTGCGTTTACTGTCACGAAAGTCATTCCAGAGGTTGATGGCAGAGTTCAGACGAGTTGGCTCGCATGTCATCTTTGCCAGCCCTACACGCCTCCTTCTCCAAACGACCAAGACCGAGGTTGGCAACGCCTACGCCTACAGCCAGTATGTTCTCAAGTCAATTCGCGCCAACCCTTCATTCCACTTCATCGATCTAGAGATCAAAGAATACTGGGACTATCTCGTTTGGTATGATGAATACAACTACGGAGGCAAGGGCTGTCGAGAGGTCACCGAGGCCGACGAACAGGATCTCGAGACAGCGATGCACTGGCAGCTCAGCCGGTTCCTGCCAATGCCCATGCAGACTATATTCCATGACTGGATTGTCGAGTATATCGAGCTGATGCATGGCTTGAAGCGGCCAGAACTCCAAGACGGGGATCTGTCTTCAACGCCTCGGCCAACGCAGATTCCCATTGGACGGACAAACGAAGGAGACGATGATGAGATCACTGCTATTCTCTCCGAACGATTCTCGAAGCCATTGAAGAAACAAATCTCGGGATTGATCCGCAGACAACGCGACGAGATGCTTCATCCCGAGCTTGCATCCGACTATGCCTTCCCCGTTTTGCCAGGAGTGCTAGTCGGCCCCAAAGATAAACGTAACCCATCTTTGGAGTTGACTAAACTGCTGATGCAGGTTCTGAGTTTGTCCAAGACGACAACCCTGGAATCCCGGTTGCTGCGACGTGAGCTTCTTGCCCTTTTCGAGGTCCGAGAATTCAGCAAGGAGGGCCGATTCGAGAACCCTAGTGCTAGCTTGAAGCTCCCGGAAATGTCTTGCAACTCCTGCTGTCTTATTCGAGACCTCGATCTCTGCCGCGACGAAGATGTGCTCCCTGGTGCCAGCTCAGAAGCCAGCAAGTCTACCCAGCCCTGGCGATGCCCCTTCTGTCACGCCGAGTACGACCGATTGGCTACTGAAGAATTCCTCATTGGTCAAGTCCATGGCTTCGTTGTGGAATGGCAGACACAGGATATCAAGTGCTCGAAATGCAGCAGTCTTAAGATCAGTGATTTCATGGAGCATTGTTCTTGCAGTGGTACATGGACTGCGACAGTTGATCGGAAGGAGATCGAGAAGAAACTACAAGTGTTGGAGAGCGTGGCGAAATTCCACAAGCTACAACTGTTGGAGCATATTGTCGAGGAAGTGCTGGAGCGATTTTGAATGTACTATTTCTGTTTTATTTGTGTCTTGATTTCCCCCTGTTTTTTTTTTTTTTTTTTGGTTTTTGCATTGGGTTGGCGTTGAGTCGGGCAAATGTAAATAGCCAACTGGGCAGAAATGCTTCTCCAATAATCGCGCCATTGTCTTTTTAAACATCGGCCTTTATAATTCAACTTCTTATTTTCTAAACATTTTCTATTTCAACTAACAACGTCTTGGAGTTGGAGTGTTTAATAGTTTCATCTGACGTTTCAGCCCTTCCCAATTAGCCCCGCCAACGACATTCCCCACGATCTTCGACTTCAAACCCCCGCAGTCCCTCGGAAAATATCACGATAGAACCGCTAGGGACACCATAAGCCCAGGTGTCATCGGCACTTGTCGCTCAGCTGTGAGTATTTTCTGCGCAGTCTCACCTCGGGTCTTCGCGCTGGACTCCTGTGCCACTTGACCGCAGGGCTGACTTTGGATCTTGCAGGTACATAAGGACAGGCGTATACATATATAGCGCACCCTCAAGTCGAACCCCTCTAGCTTGCGCTCAGTCCTTCACTCGCATTTTGCGTCGCACAACTTCCCCATCCCCCCACAATTCGCGTCGCGCGTCCCCCACTTGGTTTTATTCGCAATGGCGGCACAACCCCCGAGCCAGAAGCCGAAGGTCCAGCCGTGCCGATACAAGACCGGAAAGACACTGGGCGCTGGTTCGTACTCTGTTGTAAAGGAATGTGTGCACATCGATACCGGTCGCTATTATGCGGCGAAGGTCATTAACAAGCGTCTCATGTCCGGGCGCGAGCATATGGTGTGTGCCGGGATAACCACAACCACGGAGACAAGAGCATGACTGACGTCTTCCGAAAATATACAGGTCCGGAATGAGATCGCAGTATTGAAGAAGGTGTCACTGGGCCACCAGAACATTCTCACGCTGGTCGACTACTTTGAGACTATGAACAACTGTGTGTTTTGCTCCATGATAACGCCAATCGCGTCCCCACTAACCAGTGATGCGTTTTAGTATATCTTGTCACTGATCTCGCGCTGGGCGGGGAACTCTTTGACCGCATCTGTCGCAAAGGTAGCTACTACGAGTCGGACGCTGCAGACCTTATCCGCGCAGTACTCTCCGCCGTGGCCTATCTGCATGACCATGGGATCGTGCACCGTGATCTGAAGCCTGAGAACCTGCTTTTCCGCACGCCAGAAGACAACGCCGATCTATTGATTGCCGATTTCGGATTGTCGAGGATCATGGACGAGGAGCAGTTCCACGTCCTGACGACAACCTGCGGAACGCCAGGATACATGGCACCAGAGATCTTCAAAAAGAGCGGTCACGGCAAGCCAGTGTAAGTCCATCTCATTACGATTGTTTAATCTTTCACTAACAGCCATCCCCTTCCAGTGACATCTGGGCTATCGGCGTGATCACCTACTTCCTGCTATGCGGATACACACCCTTCGATCGGGACTCCAATCTCGAAGAGATGCAAGCAATCCTAGCAGCAGACTACTCCTTCACGCCGCTCGAGTACTGGCGCGGTGTATCACAGGAAGCCCGCAACTTCATCAACAGATGTCTGACTGTCAACCCGCAATCACGAATGACAGCCCACGAAGCTCTCCAGCACCCATGGGTCAATCTGGCCTATGACAGCGGCAAGGTCGGCTCAGGTGAAGATCTGCTGCCGACGGTCAAGAAGAATTTCAACGCGCGCCGCACGCTGCACCGTGCTATCGACACTGTGCGGGCTATCAACAAGCTCCGCGAAGGCGGCGGCTTCATGATGGACGGCGTTATGAGCGTCGATCCTAAGCCTGAGCGTGTCAATGGTGATGAGATTATTGAGGAGAACCAGCATGCTCCTCCACCTGCGCCGGTTAATGCTGGTGGCCCGACTCAGATGCAGATTGATAGTCGTGGTAATGCGCGTGGGCAGACTGAGGAGCAGATCCGGGCTCAGGAGCGGAGGGTCAAGGAGATGGTTGCTGGTTTGTGGAGTCGGACTCCTCGTTAGGATGCATGGATATGTATTCTTTGCTTTTTGTATATGCTGTGTTTCGTCCGTGGGGATGTTCGTCTTCGGATTTGGAGAATCACTGGCTGCTCTTCTCTGGTCTGGGACGTTTACTTTAGTTGGCTCCTTTTCGATGTCTCTACGTATTACACAATTATCAATTACAATAAATGATGGCGGTGTTTATAATCAATAATTCTTGGATGAGTCTCGGTTTAAAATACTTATTCACTATCTTTATGAAGCTGAGATGCCAGACCATTGCCATTCCTTATTAATGCCCATTCGGAAAAGCTGTTAACTGAAAACTCACACAAGAAAATAAAGAAGCAGCATCATCATAGTCATTATAATCATCAGTCCCACTTGAAGCGTTGAGATGTGGGACGAAAAGCAAAGCGATCTAAAAGTAAATGCTAATCAATCTGCGCCTTCCAGGATCTCCTCACCGTCATCTAGAGAGAGAACCCACTCTCGCCATTCCTGCCACTCCGCATAACTAGCGCTTGCCTTAAGCCCCTGATATCTGACAGTACGGAAATCCGAGACCTGGTCCCAGGGCTTAGTAGCGCCGGAGTTCCCACCAGCTGCACCGCGCAGCAGTCTCCGTGCAGTACTGCCGCCAGCACCATCCCAGCCTGCCTTTCGCATCAAGCTCTCCACGGTCTCTTCTTTGGTCCAGCCCTGCTCGACAGCGACGTCAGGAAGATAAGTGGCACCATAGCGACGGCCGCGGTGGATGAAGGAGATCCGCAGCCCGTGAGTACCCAGAGACCAGTCCATGGCATCCTTACACGGCTCGAAGGACCCAAGGAGTGTGAGAGAGCATGATAGTGAGGGGATAAGGGATTTAGGGATGGTCTCAAAACGGGTATCATCGAAGGCCCTAAAGCAAGATAATATGTGAGTTAGTTTGATATATAGATAGGGATGTACCTTTGTTTGTGCATTGTAGCGAGAGAGGGGTATTCAATGGGAACCACGTACGAGGTCAAAGCGTAGGACTTCAACCCCGCTGCAAGTTCCTGTCCCTCGAATGTCCCTATGCACCCGCGTAGAGACTTGTGTCCGCTTCGTGACAGGGTGTTCCATGTCACGAACAGGGGATATCGCTGATCAGGCGATCTCAGCTGGGGGGTGTTGGAAACCGCACTTGGCTCGGTGATATTGGTTGAACTGGACTGTAGCGAGTTGGAAGAAGTATTGGATGCAGACGATGAAGATGTGGCTGCGCTGGAAGAGGCGGAGAATTGGCTCTGAAGACGGCTGATGCTGCGGAGTTGCAGCTTCTTCGGCTGACTACTCGACTGGGACGATTGGTTGCTATCGTCATCTTCGACTTGTTCATTTACGGACTGCTGTTGGTCTGTTTCTTCTTCAACTTGCTCTTCAAGACTCGACAACTTCTTAGTTTGCTCGTGTTGTTCCCATAAGGCCTCTACGGCTGCCAGAGTGGGGGGTTCGCGATCCTCGAATGAAGCAAGGAGAGACTCAAAGCAATAGTAGCATTGAGCGGTATTCGCCATGTTGGGAAGGTTCCGTTTTCTCTTGGTTCCCCAGTGACGTCTTTTAGAAGAAATGCACTGCTTTGGGTTCTTCAACCAAAGTCAAGTTGGTGAAGTATGTGGTCTCCGCAATGGCCCGGGGCGATAAGAAACTGCGTCCTTATCGACTGGAACTCCAATGAGAGCCAAGGCTATAGGCCGTAGGAGAGTATAAAGCAGTGCAGTAACGAAGAGTCAAGGGCAAGAGAGAGAAAATCAGAAAGCAGGAACAAATCAAGAGAGAAAGAGAAAGAGAAAGAGAACCGGGAGTCTACCAAAGTTGGGAAGTGTTATCCGTCGCTCACGTGAACGGCAGTCTATTGGCGCCAGTTGGGATACCTACAGTACTACATAGCACAATATAAATAGTATATATAACAGTATCTTCCTGCTTTGCCTGAACACACGCAATCGAAAAAAGTGGAACATGGTAAGGCTGAGATAGTTGAAGAAAGAGGAAGAAAAGATGAAGTATATATATATTCTAAGCTGCTTTCGCCGCCTATATTCTAGCTACAACATCAAAACAGGGGACGGGAACATCTATAAAAAGAGACAACTAGAAAGACTTTCAAAAAAGACTACCAACAAGGGCATCGGAAGGCCGGATAAGCTATATCACCAGGTATAGGGCCAAGCCCAGGCAAAACCGACCAGGAATCTACACATGGCACTGTCTTAAAAGGATAAAGATGAGAAGAAAATAGTCCTTGGATTCTATAGATCCTTGTGTTGAGAACAGATTGTAGAATGTACATAGGACGCCCAATTAAATGTTGAACTTTTCCCCTTAGAAATTCATATGAGCCCGCTGTTGAATAAGTGCGAGGCCCAACCGCCAAAAATAACATTGCTCGTTTCACATGCAAAAAAGCATTCCCATATCCCAATGACCCGCGTCAGGTTGAAAAAGCAGTCCGGTAATTAACCCCTAAAAACGCACCCATGTATTTTTCTTTTGTTATACGAAATGATGTTGAACTCGTGGGATCCATAATATAGATCCCGCTTTGATTTTCCGTAACTCATACTCAGACCTCAATATCCCATTTAAACGGGGAGAGGGAAGGTGCTGGCCCACTGAGCAATCTCCTTGCGGAGAGCAAGGATCTCAGGAACGCTGTCACTGGCGACCTTGGCCTTGAAGTCCTTGAGCTTGTTGGCCTCCTTGGGAAGCTCACTCTGGATCTTCTTGCAGAGGGAAATGGACTGGTCAATGTAGCGGGCAATGCGCTTGAAGTCCTCCTCGCCCATACCACGGGAAGACATGGCGGGGGCACCAATGCGGACACCGCAAGGAGTGAGGGCCGACTTGTCACCGGGGATGGAGTTCTTGTTGCAGGCAATGTTGATCTGCTCCAGAACGGCCTCAACACGAGCACCGTCGAGGCTGTTGGCGCGGAGGTCAACGAGGACCATGTGGCTGTCAGTGCCGTCGGAGACGAGCTTGTGACCGAGAACCTTGAACTCCTCCTCGAGAGCCTTGGCGTTCTTGATGACCTGCTCCTGGTACTGCTTGAACTCAGGGGTGTCAACCTGCTTGAGGGCAACAGCCAGAGCAGTGATGGTGTGGTTGTGGGGACCACCCTGGTGGCCAGGGAAGACGGAGAAGTTGATAGGGTTCTCGAGGTCGTAGAGAACATCCTTGCCGGTCTTATCGGTGCTGCGGACACCCTTGCGGAAGAAGATCATGGCACCACGGGGGCCACGGAGAGACTTGTGAGTGGTGGTGGTCACAACATCGGCGTACTCGAAGGGAGAGGGAATGACACCAGCGGCGATCAGACCAGAAATGTGAGCCATGTCGACGATGAGGTAGGCGCCAACCTTATCGGCAATCTCGCGCATGCGCTTGTAGTCAATCAGACGGCAGTAGGCGGAGGTACCGGCGACCAGACACTTGGGGCGGTACATCTCGGCGTTACGCTCAAGAGTGTCGTAGTCGATGATACCGGTCTCAAGGTTGACACGGTAAGGGAAGGTCTCGAAGTAGGTGGAAACGGCAGAGATCTTCCTGGAGGGGGTCTGGTAGCCGTGGCTCAAGTGACCACCGTGGGGGAGATCCAAGCCCATCAAGCGGTCGTGGGGACGCATGAGAGCCTGGTAGACCTGGAGGTTGGCGGGGCTACCAGAAAGGCACTGGACGTTGACGCCCCACTTGGCGGGGTCGAGGTTGAATGCCTTGAGAGCACGCTGCTGGCAGGTGATCTCAATGGCGTCGATGTGCTGGTTGCCACCGTAGTAACGAGCACCGGGGTAACCCTCGGAGTACTTGTTGCACATGGGCGAACCAAGGGCATCGAAGACAGCACGAGAAGTGAAGTTCTCGGAGGCAATCAGGACGATTGACTCACGCTGACGCTGGATTTCCTTCTCCTGTACAAATAGGACAATTAGCACAGCTCGTTTTTCTGGTGGGGACAATACGGGACAATGCATTCAACTGCAGGTCCTAAATGGATTATTTCGACGTACCATGATGGAGGCAATCTCCGGGTCGCTAGACACGAGGGAGTTGTGCATTTGCTATAATCGATGAGTCAATGACTTAAATGCTAGAAATGAGGGTAGATGTGATACTCACGTCCCGGTGGGACTCGGAAAGAGCGTAAGTCATGATGAAGTATGGTAATCTGTCTTCTGAGAATAAACAGAGAAAATTGCTATGGAGGAGGGGAGGTGAAGAGAAGGCGAAAAATTAAATGGAAGTGGTGGGGGAGGGGATCTTCCGTTGCCTCAGGCGCTGAACTTTAACACACCGAACGATATCGGAGAAAGCTGGCCGGATTCGGGTTTTAGGTTATAAAATTTGTAACTAGGGGGAAAATGGTACTTTGGTTGAAGGTTCAAAACAATGAAAATTGCTTATTTCCTTTGAACGTTCTTCGAGAAAAGAGAGAAAAGAGAGAAAAGAGGAAATAGAGTATGAATTGCTGGTTTGCCACAGCTAATGAAATGATGGCACCTTTTGCTGTCTTGAAATGATCGCTAAAAAAACACCAGGGTATTTCCTTTTAAACGCCAAATAAATTGATCTGAAAATCCTGCAACACTTGGCTGACTTGAGAATTCCCATTGTAAACCGAAAGTTTCAAGTTCAAGCTTCATGCTTCCACGGTCCTCATGCCTCGAGGGTCCTCATGCCTCCACGGTCCTCGTATTGTTCTCCTGTAGCATTCCTGCTCGATTCCCAAAGTCAGAGATGACAGAGCGCAGCCGTCTCACACGATCCTCCAGCTCTGCAATCTCTTCTTGTTGGTCATCAACAGACCGATGTACATCTGGCAACCCTTCGACGACTGTACGAGCTTTCTGAATTCGAATCCTGACAGAGCTGGTTTCGGTAGGGAGGTTTTTCACATCGAGTGGCGGGCGGGCACTTGAACCGAGGACTGATACTTCTGTTACAGCATGCGAAGAGGTAGTGTTCCCATTGTGTCCACCATTAGGGATGTTTGAAGGTGTTTGTTGGGTCTGCGCTTGGGAAGCTCCTGGGACCCCTGTTGTATCCCCGGTTGCGTCTGATGAACCTGTTTGTTGACCTTTGGCGGATAGCAAGCGAGAAAGAATCCCATGCAATGGTGGGATTATCTCAAAGGTCTGTGGTGAAGGGAAGGGTACTGTTTGCGGTGCTGGTGTTGGCGCGTCTTTAAAGGACGTCTCGGGAACCGGGGATTTCAGCAGCGGGGTGCCCACTGGCGGGGATCGAGAAGCCATTGTCGGGAATGTTGACTCAAAAGATCCCGAGGGAAGATGTCTGAAGGACGAGTAGATCCCGGCTGGGGTAAGTCTTTAGGGAAGAGTCGGAAGACACCCTGTAGATTCGGTCGCAACACATGCTTATCTCAGCAAATACGCTCCTGGCACCCGGTGACGGTGACGTCGGGGCCCATGCCCCTCCTTCACCGGCGGCCTTTTTTCTGCGTTCGTGGTCTGATTCTCCCTCGTTCGATCTCTTCTCCTCTAAACATCTGTATAAAGGTAAGCAGATTTGTCGGTTTATTGTTAAAATTTATCTTGGTTCAGCAATTGATCAGTGTTCGTATAATTCTAGGTGTAATTCAATCACCATAACAAACCCCACTATGGCTGACCAAAAAGTTGCCTTGAGTATGATTAACTGCCACCCAGGTCCTCAAAAGATATGCCCGCTAATGTAAGGCTTATAGTTGTGATTGATGGCTGGGGTATTGCAGGCCCCAACTCCCCACCCCAGGGAGATGCCATCGCCGCGGCCGATACCCCACACATGTCCGGCTTCGCCGAGCCCAACTCCAAGACCGCCCAGGGCTTCTCCGAGTTGGATGCCTCCTCGCTCGCTGTCGGTCTCCCTGAGGGTCTGATGGGCAACAGTGAGGTCGGTCACCTGAATATTGGTGCTGGTCGTGTTGTCTGGCAGGACAGTGTTCGCATTGACCAGACCCTTAAGAAGGGCGAGATGGGCAAGGTGCCCAGCGTTGTCAAGTCCTTCACCCGTGCAAAGGAGGGCAATGGACGTCTGCACCTTCTGGGCTTGGTTTCAGATGGTGGTGTTCACTCCAACATCACTCACTTGTTCGCCTTGCTCCAGGTTGCCAAGGACATGCAGATTCCCGAGGTCTTCATCCACTTCTTCGCCGATGGACGTGATACCGACCCCAAGAGCGCCGACAAGTTCATGCAGCAGGTGCTTGAGAAGACCCAGGAAATCGGTATCGGTGCGATTGCCACTGTCGTGGGCCGCTACTACATTATGGACCGCGACAAGCGCTGGGAGCGTGTTGAGGTTGGCCTCAAGGGTCTGGTCACTGGCGAGGGTGAGGACAGCTCGGACCCGCTACAGACCATCAAGGAGCGCTACGAGAAGAAGGAGAATGATGAGTTCCTGAAGCCCATCATTGTTGGCGGCAAGGAGCGCCGTGTCCAGGGTACGTGTAGTCCGAGCCTAAAAGGCAATGTCACGAGAACTAATTGAGCCTGTATAGATGACGATACTCTCTTCTTCTTCAACTACCGTTCGGATCGTGTCCGTGAAATCACCCAACTGCTGGGCGACCATGACCGCTCCCCGCGCCCCGACTTCCCCTACCCCAAGAACATCTCCCTCACCACCATGACCCAGTACAAGACTGACTACACCTTCGATGTTGCTTTCCCCCCGCAACACATGGGTAACGTGCTGGCCGAATGGCTCGCCAAGAAGAACCTCCAGCAATGCCACATTGCTGAGACTGAGAAGTACGCTCACGTCACTTTCTTCTTCAACGGTGGCATCGAGAAGGATTTCCCCGGTGAAGTGCGCGATATGATCCCTTCGCCCCGAGTTGCTACCTACGATCTTGACCCAAAGATGAGTGCAGCTGCTGTCGGTACCAAGATGGCTGAGCGCCTTGGCGAGCAGAAGTTCGACTTTGTCATGAACAACTTCGCTCCTCCCGACATGGTTGGCCACACTGGCGTGTACGAGGCTGCCATCCAGGGTGTTGCTGCCACTGACAAGGCCATTGGCGAGATCTACGAGGCTTGCAAGAAGAACAACTACGTTCTGTTCATCACTGCCGATCACGGGTAAGTTAATTATGCGAGACACGAACAGCTCCCATCAAGAGAACTGCTAGCTAACTCACATTCGCAGAAACGCCGAGGAGATGCTCAACGAGAAGGGTACCCCCAAGACCTCCCACACCCTTAACAAGGTTCCCTTCGTTATGGCTAACGCCCCTGAAGGCTGGAGCCTCAAGAAGGGCGGTGTCTTGGGTGATGTTGCGCCTACCGTTCTCGCTGCCATGGGCGTCGAGCAGCCCGAGGAGATGACCGGTGAGAACCTGCTGATCAAGTCCTAGATAATGTTTTTCGTACATAAATGTTTGATTATGAATCAATGAATAGAATTTTGTCAATATACACATGATCTTCCTTCTTCTTTTATAGTATCAGAAGTCATCTATCCTCTCGCTTCTTGGAGTGTCCACTCAAGTAGCTTTTTTGGGTACATACATGTGTCCTTTGTGATACACTTTTTTAAACAGAGTTCTCACCGGAGCGCATTAATAAAAGATCAAAGGCATGAAGCGTAAGCTACATAACTATGTCATTATGTAGACTTCATCATGTAAGTATATTGATTAATTCCGGGTCAGAATGATTGACACTATCAGATAACTTCCACATTCAAAGACCAATTGATCGCTTTTGGGAGTATTGCATTAAAAATCCGAGGGTATATCTTTAATCTGATCTATGCGCTGTTATGGTGTCAGGCACCTGCACAAATCATACGTTTCCAGGCTATCCCAACTCAATTGGGATTTGGTCCTCAACGCTCAAGCATTCCTTGAGATATCGTGCCTCCAAAATAGGGTTCACACTTACAGAGCCCTTGCACTGAATCACTGTGAACTAGTTGAGGGTTGGCCCCATCCGACGGTAGCTTCGTGGCTCGCACGCCACCTATTGCATCTCCGGGTGATATATCCTTCTTCGCCTGCGGGTTCTGGGGGGGTTTTGACCTTATGCGGAGGCCGAAGCAGCAGCCTGCTGTTGAGCCTGGCTTTGGAGTTGGATGAGCTGGGTGAGGGGTTAGAATATGAACATAGTGGGGGTGGATTGCAGTTGAATGAGGGTGGTTTACCTCTGAGCGCATCTTCTCACTCTTCTCTTGTGTCGCATCAATCTCGCCTTCAATTCGCTTGCTGTAGATTCTCAGTCAGCACATTTTCGTTGATTCACAGTGGTCAAGGTAGTAGCACTCACATCTCCTTCTCAATGAACTCCAACCGACCGTTGACGGCCATGGTGGCTTCAGTCTTATCCTGCTTCAGCAACACCGGGCCGACGAGCTTGTAAATGTTGGAGTCATCGTCCAGCTGAGCGAACTCAGTCTGCACGCCTTCGTTCTCTTGCTGCTGCGATTCGAGTTTCTGGCGGGCGTCGACCAGAACCTCAAGCTCTGGATGTGCGAGAAAGATCAGTAGCTATTGCTGTGATCAATTAGATATTTAGACATACCGGTCTGCAGTCCCTGGAACTCTTCCGAAAGTGCTTGAATCTGTTTCTGGGCGTCCATGGTGAACTTGGAGGTGAAGTGGGAGGAGGGAAAATCAATGGCTCCCGCCCGTAAACAACTTCCACTCTCACTTTCCCCTCCAATTCCCATCAACCCTCGGTTCTAGGGCTGTTTTGTACTTCCTCTTTTCTTCTACCCCAAAGAATCTTCAAGTTTTCTCTTCTAGTAACTCGCTGCCTATCCCTCCAGCCTTGGCCCATTGCCCCAACCCTTGCTCCCCTCTCCCCGCTTTATCACATCTGCCTCCGCGGTCGACTTGCTACCTCTACCCCAGACAGTACAAGCATTGCCTATCATGAGCAATACGGATTTCCTGGGGCGGGCGATCGATACGGTCAAGAAGGCGATCGAGAATGACAACGATGGGGAGTACGAAAAGGCTTATCAGATGTACTACTCCGCACTGGAGTTGTTCATGCTGGCCTTGAAATGGGAGAAGAACCCGAAATCGAAGGAGATGATTCGCTCAAAGGCCGGCGAGTATATGGATCGCGCGGAGAAGCTTAAGAATCACCTGGCCGAGGACCGGAAAAAACCAAGTGCGGTTGGCGCAAATGGAAAGGTGGCGCAAG